GGCCCCCCACAGCCCCCCGCGGTCATCAGACGGTTTCCACTGCAGCAACAAATGTGCGGGCCTCCCCAGAGCGCCCCGGAAGCGCCCCTTTCCTTGAGCCCTAGTCCCCGTGTAGGTGAAGGGTAGCCACCTGCCCACATCAGGGTTGGAGGGCACCTCTGGGCAGAGGCCCCCACTGTCCCCAACTTCGTCCAGTCCAGCCCAGGGCACCTCAGTTCTGGGCAACACGTCAGACTGGGAGGCGGGAGGGGGGCGGCGAACCTGGCCAGTGACCACACGGCCCCTGGGCCTCGGGCCTGGGCGCCGAGTCAGTTTCCTTCCACTCCACTCACGGGGCACCTCCTGCTCCGTGTCCTTGGAAGTGTGCCCCCTGACCCTCCAGCAAGGCTGGATGCTGCCCCCCCCCCACCACAGAGGTGCTGGGGGGAGAGGGGAGACATAGGAAGTGCTGAGTCCTGGGCCTGAGCCGGCAGCCCAGCACCCAGGGCCGCCACGGGGAGGGGGAGGGTCCCACCGTCAGCGCAGCACGGCAGCCTGGTCTCTGCTCCCCAGAAAGAAGGAAGCTGAGAAGTTCTTGGTGTTTTTCTTTCTACATTTTATTATTTCAAACCAGGTGAACAATTCCATAAAACGTGAAAAAAGCAAGGAAGTGTTCAACGCTGAAGGACCCGACCTGGGGGAGGGCACGAGGGGCGTGGCCCCTCGGCAGGCAGCGGCGGTTCCTAGGTTAGCGCTAAGGGCTACATGGAGGTTAATGGAGCCGGTGGCCCTGGGACAGGCCTCTGTGAAGCTGGCAGCCCTTGGACCCGACGGTGTGGGGCAGGGGGGCCGCACAGGGGCAGCCAGCAGGGCAGGTGTAAACACACGGACACACTCAAGGCACGGCGTCGCTCGAATGGGGCTGGGGGAGCTGGTCAGGATCGGACAGTTTTAAATAGTTTTTCCTCTAAAAAGTTTCTAAGTTTGCGTGTTTTTTTTTGCTTTCATTTTTTTAAAAAGCTGAGAACGAGCGGTGGACTGTGGTCTCCGGGAATGGTGGTGTCTCACGCGTCTTGTGCTTTTCCTTGGGGCCTCCGAGCGGCTGGGGCGGGGGGTGGGGGGGGCAGGAGGCTCCCTGTAAACATCTGGACTTGGGCTGGGCCAGGGGCTGGGGCTGGGTGAAGCCGGGGTCCCAGGCCGGAGAAGTGAGTGCCCCTCCCCCATCACAGAACAAGACAAGGGCCAAATCCAGAACAGACAGATGCCCAGGAAAGGGGCGCCCCAGCTGTTCCCAGCACCTGGGACAAGGGCAGGCTTCAGACAGGGAAGCCTGTGGCACCCCCTTCCCCAAGTCTCGGGAGCTGAGGGAGGCAACAGGGGGAGCCAAGAACAGAGAGAGGGGGGAAGCGGTGGGGAGGGCAGGTGGGGGGCGTGGTCCTCTTGCCCCCATCTTCCTTAGGAGCTGGGGGAGCAGATTCGGCGGCGGCCCTGAGGTGGGGGCAGGCAGGGCATGGGTCAGGAGGTAGACACTGTGTGACTCCTCCCACCCCCCACCCCCCGACAATGACCTGTTCCTTTCTCACCCACTTGTTACCAGGGACACAGTGGCCACCCAGAAGCCAGTGCCCGTTGCTGGGCTCCTTGGGGGAGGGGGTCTGAGGCTGACAGAGTCTTCCCACCTCCCCAGGCCCAGGGGAGCCAGCCCCACTCAGGAGCCTCAAGGTTGGAGGCAAAGAGGGAGGAGCACAGAGCCGGTCACACTGAGCGGCAGGTGGGGGCCCCGCGTCCTCCAGGCTGCCCAGGGCCTGGTGGTGAGGAAGTGCGTTTTCTCCAAGGAAGGCCGAACAGCCCTTTCGTTCTGTCCCAGCGCACAGCCAGGCACTGCGGCTGTGTGGGCCACCGGGCAGCACAGAGCCCAGCCCTGCCCGTGCCCAGGCACTGGGTGACCCTCCTGACTCACCAGCCTGCGTGCCCCTTGTCTGCTCTCCTACTGGGCGCTCACCTGGACTCCTGCGTCCCTGCTCTGGGTCAGTGGCCCTGCTCTG